TTTTTTTGTTTCAAAAAACACCTTTGGTACCCAGCTAGTTAACAAAGTGCAGTAACAGTAAATCCAGCTCTAATACCTGCACTTGTTACTGTACTGCAATTTTGAAGACAAGTCCTCTCGCTACTATATAAAGTAGGAAGGACAGAGTTAACAATAAAATTCTGTTTTAAGTAATTGGAATATAAATCATAAATATAAATCACATGCAGTATAAATCACGATCACTTTTTCATGTTCATGCTTCAGTTACCTTGATTATTAGTTGCCTGTAGCTGTTCTAATAGTAGGGCTCCTCCCAAGAATGCAGGAAAGGGTTGGGCAGGGTACTCCTAATTCCTTTGTTCCTCAGTAAGTTTAGCAGTGGAAAACTACTTAAAGAACTGCTAATGGCTAAATGAGGTTGAAGAGCACTGCTGTAAAAACATGAAATGCCACCAATTTTTGGGAGAGGGACTAAAGTAGACAGTTGGTCATAAAAGTGCACCAACCTTTTCCATGATTGCGAAACAACAGAAATATCTGAACTTGAATTTCAGTAAAATTAATCAAATAACTGTAGAATAGGACCCTGCACTGAACAAGCTTTCTATGCAATACTGGCAGTCTAAATTGTTCCTTTCATTTAATGCTTTCAGAGCTGTTGCGCAGCCATTGGTACCTGTATTGGGGAAACATAGCATACAAGCAAGAACCTTACAGCCTCAGTGGCGAAAATTTTTTCATGTCAGAGACCGAGAACTCTTGCAGTCGTTTATGTCATCCCGTCTTCTCCAGACAGAAGATACCAAAAAACTGCAATCAAAGATCTCTTCATCTTATTGATAAAGCTACTAATAAGACAAAATGTCTGTCAACGTCAACCGCAGCGTTTCAGATCAGTTCTATCGCTACAAAATGCCCCGTCTGATTGCCAAGGTAACTTTTTTTTTAATCTGTAATCTCAGTAACAAGTTCTTATATTAAGTTAACTTGTCATCCCTATTTTAATGTTTAAGGAATGTGAGTTGCAGAGGTGACGAAACTAGTTCAAGGTGCCTTTGGTTGGTCAGTGGTATTGCTTCTTGGCCTCTTGAAGGCTCAGATCACAAAGCTTAGATTTTATACTTGTATTCTGGTTAGTGCTACAGTGTGCTACATTACCAAATGTAATCTGAGGAATACTTAAAAAGCTTGTTGGGGAATGGCCCTTACACGCTTAACTAACTAAATCTCTAACTACTACTCTTTCTAGGTTGAGGGCAAAGGAAATGGAATAAAGACAGTTATAGTCAACATGGTTGATGTTGCAAAGGCGCTTAATCGGCCTCCAACGTGTAAGTATCTTTGGAGTAATTTTGAAATCCTTGTATTTGTTTCTCTTTTTGTAAAGTACCTGAAATCATACTGTGTTTTTAAAAAAAAAAAAAAAAAAGGAAGCACTAAGTCATAAATGTCAATAGCAAATGCAAGATCATAAATCAAACCACAGGGGAACTTGTCAGCATAAAATGACTAACATGACATGATGACTGGCTTCTTTCTTTGCATCTCAACATGGTCAAACAGAAGAATCCATTAATCGTAGGTTAAACGTCTATTACAGTTTAACTTAATGTCTTTTTTTTACTTTAAGACAAGTGTTTGTTATGCAAAATTTACCATACAACAGCTTCTTACTTTATTATCAAAACTAGTACTGACTCTTTCTATTTGGTACTGCATTCAGACATTGTTTGCATAGAAAGCAGGAATTAACTGAATCTCCAACTTGTATGCCCTGTATGATGATTCTCTCTTTCTCTGTCTCCTTTTGAAAGATCCTACCAAATTTTTTGGTTGTGAGCTGGGAGCACAGACCCAGTTTGATGTTAAGAATGACCGTTACATTGTCAATGGATCTCATGAGGCGAATAAGCTGCAAGACATGTTGGATGGATTCATTAAAAAATTTGTTCTCTGTCCTGAGTGTGAGAATCCTGAAACTGATCTGGTGGGTACTTTTGAATATTGGTTGTAGAACCAAGACCAACCTGGTCTGAAGAGTTGACATTGCCTTCATGCTCATTACGCTGTGCAAGATTAACTAGTTGAGCTTAATGTGTCATACGTCAAATACAAATAAAGCCTCAGGAATATGAAGTCTGACTTCAAATACCATGCAGTGTAAACGATGTGAATTTGGGTTTTGCGAGCATACCTATGGTCCAAAGTTTGTCTATGCACAAGGAATGAATTAGGAGGGCAAAATGTTACTTAAGCCTAGGGAGGTTGGTGGTGTAATGTACAAAATATAATTCATACAGAGCTTTAATGTCAAACTTTTTTTTTCATTTTGGCAGCATGTCAATACTAAGAAACAAACTATAGGCAACTCTTGCAAAGCCTGTGGCTATCGAGGCATGCTTGACACAAACCATAAACTCTGCACGTTCATTCTCAAAAACCCACCTGGTAAGTGTATTTTTAGCCACTTAATTAGAACTAAGCAATCCAGGTGTTAGGATTTTGGGGGCCTTTTTTAAAACTTGTCAGTGCCTGACTGCAAGGTGTAGAGAAGTTTGTTTCCCATTGGGAATGTTAGGGTTCATGGTAAAAAGAACAAGATAATAAAAATGGTAAGCAATACCATGAGTAAAAACCATTTCTCTTGCTTAAGGTGCTAATTCATGGGTGAAGACAGCAGAAAGCCTTCTAAGCAATTGCCTTATAGCATCTCCAGACTACTAAAAAGTGCCAAACAGTAGCTTTAATCTGTCCCTTGTAATACTTAGTGGCTTGTTTGTTTGCTCTGCAAGCAACACTCTGTGGTAGACATCCATGTTGCCTGCTGCAATTTTAAGCTTGCTATAACAAAGAAGTCTAACCTATTCCAGTGGTCTCTGCTGGGTGAGATCATCTTGTTATATAGACTTGGACAACCTGTTTTATTTGCAGACTGGTGTCACCAGTTGCTTCCTAAATACAGGGCTGGGTTTCTTGCCAGGCTCTCATGACATCACAAACTTTCACTTAGTGGTCATGTTACAGATCATCTGACAACAGAACTAAGGAAAATCTTTTGTAGCAGTGTGAGCATTACTGCCGTACTGAACACTATAGGTAGCTAAATTGCCTTTAAGGGACAATTGAACGATCGCAGAGATGCCTGCTGTTTCTTACCGAAAAAACTACCTTGTTTTGTATTGAAACAAACTTCCATGTGCTTCCTGAGATCTGAGAAATCCATGTGCAATTCAAATGCTCCCTCTTCCCCTCACCTGTCAAAGGATAAAGAGCTGAAGAAACTGCTTGTCCAGGGTGTAATAAGTTTGCCATGATTTCATCTATTTTGATAGTGTTTTTAAATGAGAGATCATGTAACTACTAATATGCTGCTTCTCAACTTGGAACTTAAACTCACTTTCTTGAAGAGAGAGCTGTATAATGACAATTGTCACTTCACAGAATAGAATCAAATAACTGGGGGGAGACCTCAAAGGTCACTCTGTCTAACACCTTACTTGAATGCCCAGATGCTGTTCCTAAAGCACCCCTATCCAGTGCTTATTGGACTTCCACTGTAGTCACTTCTACAACTTTGTTTGAATATCCAATTCCATGTACAGAGAATTTTTAAAGATGGAAGACTCTGTAGCTGGAAAGTAAAACTAGAGGCTAGAAATAAGTCCCTTTTTAATGGGTGACTAGCCATTGACCCCAAGTATGAAACTAAATGCATCAAAAAGTACTTGAATATAAAAATATTGGTATCCTGTATACAGCTGATCTGTCATGTCATCTAGGCTGTTTGAGTAGTACTTTTAGTCATCCATTTCCTGCGAGATCTCAAAATGGACTTTGGATCTGCATGAGGGTAGATCAAGTTGCCTCTTAAGACTGCTTCATTAAACTGGCTTTTCTGGGGTTCCAAATAAGAAAAACATCTGACTGTACTCTAACTTTTGAATGTAAAGGGGATGTTTAGCTCACTTCTGAACACTGCAAGCAGAGTTCAGTCCTAATGTTGAGATGCTCTCCCTACCCATGATAGGGAGGCCAGTAGTACGATGAAAGGGGCTTGGAATACTGAGTCAAACTCAACTAGAATCTGGTGTGCTTGAATTGGAGCAGGTCTCTCTTTTTGTGCAGTAAGTAAAGGAAACTAAAGTATTGCACCTCTACTTTTAAGAGAGCTGTGATGCTGGCACAGGAAAGAAGGAAAAAGAGAAGAAGAATCGCAAAGGCAAAGATAAAGAGAATGGTTCTGTGTCTAGCAATGAGACACCACCTGCACCCCCACCACCAGAGGAGATTACTCCTCCACAGTTAGCAGTAAGTAGGCATTCCAAGTTCTAAACATTGATAATGAAGCTGGAGTCTAACTTGAACCAAAACTAGTTTGGGCTCATGTTTACCTTCAGTAGTTGGCGGAAAAGAGCTGGCAATTCAATTTTTTCCTAAATCTTTAACTGCAAAGGACCTGTACTAAACCCTGATAGGAACCTCCGTAAAAGGTCTTGCATAACAACAGTTCCTGTCACCACTTGTGGTGATGCTTCCCTCAGGAATTTTGCTGTGGCAGCCCCATCCACAACTCTGTGGTGTCCAGCTTACTATATTAGTTTGTGTAGTCTAGGGTTGCAAGTGTACCACAAAGGGTTGTGCCCCAGGTACTGCCTGGCTGTACCTGGGTCTCTAGGCTCCCATTCTGTTCCTCGGCTTTTGATTCTTGCCCAAGGGGTGCAGCATAGTTTGCAGTGTGGCAATGCCAGTGAGCCTAGGTGGGGGCTGCCCACCACTTAAAAACTAGGCAGTTCCTGTGTAGCAAGTCAGTTGCATGCTGTTGTGAAGTGGCAAAGAAAGTGCCACCAGCTGGAAATGGTTCCATTTATACTTCAAGGATGTTTTGGTAACCTTCTGCATGAGAAATAATGGGCTCTTTTTGGGGGATATCTTAGAAATAAAACTAAAGGCAAGTTCAAGAAAGTTTATAAAAGATTATGCCTCTGGAGTAGCATTTTTTTACTTGCTGCTAAAAGGGATCAATGTTGTTGCATGAACTCTCATTAGGAAGATGATGATGATGACTGGGGTGAAGACACAACTGAAGAAGCCCAGAGGCGCAGAATGGATGAAATTAGTGATCATGCAAAAAACCTCACACTTAGTGATGACCTGGAAAGAACAGTGGAAGAGCGAGTCAACATACTATTTGACTTTGTTAAGGTAAAACTCATCATTCAAACTATTCCTGGTTTTTTGTAGTACTACCCCCCACCTCCCCTGCTGAAGAGTAGATATATATAGAAGTATCTTGCTAACATCTAAAATATAACTGCTGCTTTTCCCTATACAGAAAAAGAAGGAAGAAGGTGTCATTGATGCTTCTGACAAAGACATTATAGCAGAAGCAGAGAGACTGGATGTAAAGGCTATGGGCCCTCTAGTTTTGACTGAAGTCCTCTTTAATGAGAAGATACGGGAACAAATAAAGAAATACAGGCGTCACTTCCTACGTGTAAGTTAGCTTAGCCGAGATTCTAGTTTAAGAATCTGTTATCTCTGTATGATGGAACAGAAATGCTTCTTGGACAGTTTGGGCATTTCTGGCCACAGAATTCTGGCTTTAAGAATATTTGCTTGCAACAAGTAGTATCTTGTGATGGGTAGTAACATCTTGTTCTCTGGCAGAGCTAGATTTAAGGCATCTTGTATTGACCTCAAACTAGATAATTTTATTAGTAACTTTTTATTTTTGCAAAGAAACTGACGTAGTTGCCAATGTCCTTCAATTGCAGTTCTGCCACAACAACAAGAAAGCTCAGAGATACCTTCTCCATGGCTTTGAGTGTGTAGTAGCCATGCATCAAGCTCAGCTTATTTCAAAAATTCCCCATATCCTGAAAGAAATGTATGATGCAGATCTTCTGGAAGAAGAGGTCATCCTTAGCTGGGCAGAAAAGGTAAGGCTATAGTATACCAGCATTGCTAGACAAAACCTGCCTTGCAGCTGTTCAGCTACAGTCCTTGCAATTCTCAAACTGCATCCTTCTCCAGAAAAGGAAATGATCAAAAGCAGTGTCCTTGCTGACACCTGACTTTTTTTATTACACATAAGTGTCTCTGGAAACTATTCTAGAATTCTACTAAGCTGGAGTTCGAGTGCAAAAGGAGATGGATTGGCAGTTAGTGCCTGATCTAAACTTAAGCAACAGTTGTCCGAGTATGCAGAGTTTCCTCTTTCCACCTAAGAAAAGGCTGTGAGCTGTGCTGGGAAGGAGTAATGACCTTTATTCTCCTCTTCTGTAGGCTTCTAAGAAATACGTCTCTAAAGAGCTTGCCAAAGAGATACGTGTCAAAGCAGAGCCTTTTATTAAATGGCTGAAGGAAGCTGAGGAAGAGTCATCTGGTAATGAAGAAGAGGAGGAAGATGAGAACATTGAGGTATGAATTCTTTCCCATCCTGTCTATAGAGAATACATATATTGCAGTTAGTGAACATACCTCTTTTTGGATTTCTCCACAGGCTCATAGGTCTATACAAAAATTGGAGTGGCCTCTTCAGGTCTAGATCTGTTAGTTTTGGGGCAAACTACAACGGGGAACAAAGTAGTCTTTAATTCCAAATCCTCGTAGTTGCCCAGTGGTGCGACACTCACTGTTCGTTGGGGAGAGGTGGAGGGTGACAAGAATACTAAGCTGCTGCATGGAAGCCATGTTGTTTTTAACTGACTGTTTATGGAAACAGCAATAAATAGCCCTAATGCTGAGTACTTTTGTCTCAACAGGTGGTATACTCTACAACTGCCAGTGTTCCTAAAGTTGAAACTGTGAAGCCTGCAAATAACAAGGAAGAAGATATTGATATTGATGCCATTTAGTGATGCAGCCCAGCTTCTAGCGAATGATGCAAACGTCTCTGCATTTTCTGCCAGAAGTGCAACATGTATGTGCACAAGCTGAAATGGCTTAACATCATGCTACTCTTTGTACTCAAGTGTGTATCTTTTTACTGTGACTGGTCATGTGTAACTAAGCCTAATACCAAGGAGTCCACACACAGCAGTGAACTGATGCTAGTTTGCAAATGGCATGGGGTTTTTTGTTTTTTGTTTTTTTTTTAACTTGTGTTTGGACACGTACTTGGAGCACACTTATAGAGTTGTGGAAATAAAGGATTTGGTTTTGGTCAGTCTTCACTTCATGGCTGTGACCTGTTCATTCCATCTTGAAGTAAGGCCTGCACAACTTTAAAGTGCTTCTGCTTGCGGACTCTGAAGTGGAGGTTGTACAGCCTCAAGTTCCTGAAGTAATGAAAGTCTTGAAAAGAAGCAGTGTGTACGTACTAGTCAGCAGGTTTCTTCACATAACTGACAGATGAGGTTGAGAGAGAAAATGGCCCCCTCAGGCAAACACTGTATTTGGCTAATGTTCTTCAGGTGCAGAGAGATCTCTCCTTTTTTTTTCTTTTACTCTAAAATGGTGCAAACCCACCCCCCCCACCCTTCCAAGGCCTGCTAACTTTGGAAACTTGCCTTCAGATTTGGAGTGATGACCCTGTTTAGGGTCTCAAAGTTAACTGCGAGCAAGAATTCTTCCTGTGGTTCAGCTGCTCTTGCAATAACTGTCTTTGTCTCTATTGAGAAAGCAGGCAGTCTTTCATCTAACAAAATAGGGTTAAATTGTTTGGATCTAGCTTTAATTTGCTGTATGGTAACTGCAGGTGTACAAACAGCTTAGGTCTGCAGTTCAGTGAGGGAAGGATCTTGTGTCAGCTGCAGCTAACTGATTATGTACATACTTCATCCTGTGCAAAGTGAAAGCTTAAACTGCCAATTAATGTGGACTGGTAAGAGTAGGCAATATGTTGTTTGTTCCAGGTAGTCTTGTCTTTGTGCACCTATTGCAAGCAGTCACAGCCAGAAAAGGTAGCTGTGCTGTGATCTATCACATAATAGTCCATTAGAAATTAATGGGCTAGAAACATGTGAAACAACATTTGAACTAAGTCCATTAAGGGATGTGGCTGCTCAAATGAGGATTGTTTTTTGTTTGAAATCAAATGCTTCAATAAAAAAACACAAAACAAAAAACTTGTTCCAGGTATGTTTGGCTAGAACTTGAAGACTGCAAAGGTGGTGTTACCCTGCCTGTGTGCTAGACTAGGGAGTACTAGTGGAGTCCACTTCATCTACATCTAGGTTTTGTGGGTTTAAATCATAAGCGAAGTGGCTTTTGCCTGCCTTAGAATAGTGAATAGGCAACTTCACTACAGCTGTGGGCTCTATTTCCTAAGTGTGCACTCACTGTGTATATCTGAGAAATGAGCAAAATGGCTCTCCAATGTCCAGGGTGTGCTTTTATAGCAATACAAGTAGGCATAGCATGACGGAATAGATTATGTGGACTTGAGAATATAATTTTTTCCTCTTTCTTTTTGGATGGGAATGCTATATTAAGCACCGATGAGACCTGCAGTTTTTTTTAGTACAAGTTAGTAATGGAGTTGCATCCCTATATATTTCCCTAATGTGAATGTCACAGCAGTTGCCTCTTAGAAATAAATTCTTCCTGAAGAGTAAATGGTGTAAACTAATGTACTATGGGCATGGGCACTGTTATTTCTTGCACATACTTCCAGTAGAGGCCAAAAGTAAAAGTTAAATCATCATTGGCTTTACAAACTTGCCCTGACAACTAGTCAAGAGTCTTGTATTTTAGAAGAAGTTGGGTTGTAACCAGATACTTCCTTGGCTATGACCAAGTCGAAGGTAGCACAAGTTGAATAATGGAAATGTAAAGCATACTACAGCAAAAACCACACTAACCAGCATGCCAGTTGATGCAGCAAAAGGGAAACCAGAAATGGGACTTACAGTTTCGTCAAATCCCACAGTCCAGGGGAAAGCAGCCTGCATGGAGCCCCCCTTCCTTTTCCCCAGGTATGCTGACATCAGGCAAGGGGCAGCATGATTAATCTGAGACGTAGGTGCAGCAGGAGGGGGGTATCTGCCCAACCAGGCAAAGATGCCTCTCAGATAACGGCCATGTTTGGTTATCCAGCACCCTTGGATAATGCAGCTTTTCCTATATGTGTCTGTGATACCCTTCTGGACTTTAGTAGGCAGACAGTGAGTGAGCATTATTTCCCTATGGCTTTTAGATCTTAACAGAATGAAGAACTAGAAAAGGAGAACTACCAATTAAGTAAAATGAGAGTACATCTACACATGTTGCTTATAACAGGAGAAATTGAAGCTAGTTCTGTAAGCATAGAGAAAGTCTTAATAAATGACCATAGGCAAAAAAATTGGTCAACTTTTAGGGCTTTATCACTTATTTCAATATGCCCATTTTAATCTTTCAAGTCTATAACTTAGAGGTGTTAAATCTCCATTGCTTTTAGTCCTATTTCATAGGAAGTATCTTGGTTTTGCATTAGTGTACTTGCTGTTGTGATATTACACCATGATGTATAGCTGAAGGTTGCAGGAAAGTTCTCTACACGCATTCTTTGCTGGATTTGAGATACAGTCTAGCTTAGCGTGAAAAACTTAGGGGGGCATTCCTACTACGTCACTATCCAGGCCCACTCTGGAGGTAGACGCTAGCTGTCAGCACAGCATTGTACTGAGAGAGGCAGGGTGAGGAGCCTGGGTGGAATGCCATGCTTCCTGCAGCCATGTGACTTCTGGGACAAACTAGTACCTGTCCAGTGTGACTAGTCTTACAATGCACTGTGTAAGCACATCTGCAAGAAGCACCTGACCCTGTGTTTAAGGCACCAGTGTTCCATGTGATTTTTTTTCCAAGTATTTGAGATGCTGGCTCCCTGCAGTGACCCACCAAAGTTCCTGTCCCCTGAGAATACAATCTCAACTGTAGATGTATGCACACAACCCTGTTTAAAATCTTAAGCTACTATCATCTGTGGAACAGATTAGGTTTGTAGCTATACCTTTTCTGTACCACACACAGTTCTGTAGTCATATTAATACAAAATGGTTACTCTCCATTCCTGTGTCCAGTCAAAAATACTGTAATGCAAATCTAAGGAAATGTGTGAGGTTTCAGCAAAACAAGTGAATTCTTTAGTTATGTAGAGGCCTTGAAAACAGTCAACAGGACAGCTCACACCTACCAGAACCACTTGCATCAGATATTTTGTGAACTCCAGTAAGCACAATTACTCGATTTTGTGTGTTTTAGGTTCTCTGTAACAAGGTCTAGAAACATTTTTTTTTTTTTCCTTTTTAAAAAACCAAGCTGAGATCCTTGGATACAATTCTGCAGTGTTGGGCCCCATAGAGTCATGCACATTGAACTCACCATTGTTAAATCTTGCATGATACAACAATGACCCTAAAGTTATGTATGTAAAAAGAGTAGTGAATTGATAAGAGCACTTGAACAGGAAGATGGAGTCTGACACCCAGATACTTACCCCTTCTTCCTCTCTTTGCCTTTTGTGCTTCAGGCTTAATGCCCAGCCCTCACCACTTGTGGATCTATACTTTTAGAAAGTGGCTTGAGCTGCTGGTCTTGAAAATCTGCTTTTAAGTTTAACTCCGTGCTCAGCTGGTTAGATTACAACTCGTCTTGCAGCACAACTGCCTCCTTTCCAGCCCTGGAAAGATGTAGAGCTCCACAAACGTAATAATCAAAACAGCATCCACAGAAGTTTGTTTCCCCCAGGATAAGAAGCAGTGGCATGCCTTGTGCAGCTGCTGCTTGTCCCTAGGGAACTCCTATGCCACACATCCTCAGGCATGCAGTAGGTTACCCTAGGTTATGTAGGGGAGGGTACAGCCAGTGCTGGGCTGGCCCCAGCAGCCTCACCTGGGGGCCTGCAGCAGTGGCAATCCTGCCACTGGAACATGGATTTGGCCAGCCAAGATCTGATTTTGGGCAGCACATGCTGCCCCCACATGCACCACTCTGCTTTTTTTTCTTTTTTTGGGGCGGGGTGGGGATTTGACCCTGAGATTGCCTGGGGTCGACAACTCCCCTCCCCACACCCCATACTGTTACCTTGCAGCATGGGGAACTGAATATGTGGCATTGCAAATATGTCTTTGGTACTGCATACTACATGGCTGCGCTCACCTGGATGCAACCAGAGTGCAAAACCCGTAACAGGGAGCGCAAAGGAGTTTGAATGAATATAAATTGTGAGGAACAGGGATCCTGACTGTTACATGAATTGCACAGAGACCAGAGCCTCTTTATGCATTTCAGTCGGTCAGGAAAAATTAAATTGATGTGAAGGGCAAAGTTCGGATTCTGTTTCCTATTTACAAAGTTGGTGCTTTCCCTAGCACTTTTCCTTCCAAAAGGGCAGGATAGATTTCAGAGACGTCAGTTCTTCCACTGCTGAATTCTAGCCAGAGGAGTGAAATTAGTCATTCTCCACCAGCATCCTTCATGCTGGACTTAGGAGGGAAAGGGAAGGCAGTGTGAATTGGAGAGGGTGTTATGGAGATTTTGAATTGGGACTGAAAGAAGTTTTGGAGTGTCATAGCCATGATGGTCCATGCCAGTGTGCAAGGACAATTTCTAATTTACAGCATACTGGATTAGATTTAAAATTTATTTCTTCAGGAAAACCATTTTCCAGTTCCTATCTTGCTTTGTTGCACCCCTTGCATCTCAAAAGGGTTTTATTTCCTCCTATAAGGGAAGCAAGGCGAGGCTTTCAAGTAACATCCGCTAATGCTGTGCAGAAAGTCTCACTAAATAGTCCAGAAGTAGCAGCTTTAATTCCTTTGGGCCTTTCAAGGAGTTGCCCTGTTTCCAGCTGCTGAGCATGCAGTCCCTCAGAGCATGGTCTGTTAGCACTAATGAGCAATCCGCCTATGGGTTCTCTCTGCCTGGCGGGAAAGGAGTTTGGAAACAAAATAAAAGGTTAGACTGCAGTCCTCTCAAAGCAGCTGCAGGAGAGCTGTTACAGAGCCAGTGACCTTTGCCTGTGACTGCTTCTGCTACTAGGCTTCTTTAACTTAGGACCAGAAGTGAAACTGGAGAGAGAGACACACAGGTGCTGAGTAGGACACCGGGAGAGGACAGTCTCTCTCCCCTTTACAGCGCTTCAGGAACCCAAGCCACGCACAGGCTGGCATATGAAGCCAGCGTACTGCTGTGGCAGATCCAGTTTGTATCAGACCCAGACAACATCATAAATACTAAAGCAATTATATCATTCATAATTGATCCCCTGCCACAGAAGCCTTGCAGTTGTGAATTCTACAGTTACCATCTGTGGTTTTGCATAAAAGGATACTTAATGTTGCTTGGGGGGGTAAGTTTCCCACAAAACTCTCCTCCAAAAGCTGCAGCATTCAGCACAAGCCCTTGTCACTCAGATCTGCTGGAAGTGCATGAGCTCCCTGCTTCCCTACTCTTCCCTCCAGCTGCTTCATCTTAGTGGAGTTGTGCTGCTAGGGCTTCATGCACTTAGCCACCTCTCTCCCCTCACATGCCAATGGGAGGCCTTCACATGTATTCTTATCCTCAGTTTGCATTGCAGAATTTCTGGCAGTTGGACTGGAGGGAAGGGATGATCTTCAAACCCGTGCAGGGCTGGGACTGATGGTGTTATAAATACGGCTAGCTCAGTCGGATCAGGGATGGGATATTGTGATGCACGGGGATCCTTGGGGAATAAACTGCCTTTGCCCCCCTTTTAGGGGCTAGATTGCTATTTGGTGTAATTCAGCAAAGCTGCACTGAAGTCAGTGGTCTCTGCCTATTTGCTGAGCTGAGGATCTGGCTCACGAACTTCATCAGTAGGTTTCTGCTTGAAGCCAGTTAGGATCATAGGAAAGTAGGGCTGGAAGGGATCTCATGAGATCATCTAGTCCAGCCTCCTGTTCAGGCCAAGATCATCCTTGACTGAACCATCTAACCTGCTCTTGAAAGTGTCTGGGGATGGAGTTTCCACAACTTTTTAGGCAGCCTGTCCCAGTGCTCGACTAAAGTTTTTCCTAACCCCAAACCTAAATTTCCTTCTGCTGTAGTTGAGGGTATTGATTCCTAATCTTGTATCTGTTAGCCAGTGAAGTTCATCTCCATCTTCTTTGTAATTACCCTTCAGGTATTTCAAGATTGGTATCAAATCCCCCCCCCCCCCCCC